TTAAGTCTTTGTTTATATACACAGTTGTACAAATAATAAAGTAATAAGATCAACATTTCAAACCCACAAAAATTTGTGATCCATAGTACAAATAAAGTGGATAGTAAAAAATGGTAGTAGAAGAATTAATGTTAGTAAGGTTCACTATACAAGTTCCTCATAGGCATAATATATAAATATGACTCTTGACTTGATTTTATTGGACAATTATAACTTTTTAACTTTGTTAGTGTACAAAAAGACACTTCAATTATTAAAAACTTGAACAAATAAACACTCGAATTTTACCTCTAACCTGCGTGACTTGGGTGTATTTAACGAGTTTTGCCAAGTAGGATTCAAGTTTTGAATAGTTAATGTTTCTATTTGTGCACTAACAAAGTTAAAAGTCATAATTGCCGGTTAAAACTAAGTTAAGGGTCATGTTTATTATGCCTTCCTAATAACAAATTAGTATTTCCTTGATTTGTACCTAAAATTGGGAAAACCATCTTGATCAAGCTTTAGAGTGTTTTCTTGATAGGAAAATGTAAATAAAAGCAAACTTTCCTCTATTAGAGATGATAATAATTTAATCTAAAAGTTTAGGGTTGAGTAAACATTTCAAATTTGTGATTGATTTGTTTTTTATATATTCAACATTTATTACAAATAATACGTCACTTGAATCAAATTTCTAATGGAAGCACCATGCACATTAATGATTTTCTAAAACTTCAAAAATGTCAAGGTTAATTATTTCCAATGTGATCCCCAATTCTCCTAATTTTCAAGATAAAAAAAGAGTAATAAATAAAATAACAAAAAAGGAGAAATAATTTAAAAGAAAAAAAAATCTTATTAAGAGTAGATACAGAGAACCATAAACAATCAATGAGGCAAGACCCCAGTTAAAGATTGAGTAGTATGAAAAATGTGACAAAAATAGACACTTGTCATACTTATCCACTGAGAACATGCATCCTAGTCAAATTTGTTGTAATTCTACCTCGTATATTTTAAATTGATATTTAGTATTAAATTTTTAAAAATAAATAATTAAAATTAAAAATAAAATACAAGAGATAATTATTTTTCTAAAATAGATTAAAAATGACAAATAAAAGTGAAAATTATTTTCAAAAGGGAAAAAGGATAAATATATTTTCGAACTTTCGTAAATGGTATCTAAATACCCCTCGTTATACTTTTAGAACGTTGATGCCCCTACCGTCTAATTTTTGGATCGTGTATACCCTTTGGACTAACGGAGGGACACGTGTCACGATCTTAACAACCTATCCAAAACGTACTTAATTTTTATTTTCAATTAAAAAATTGACCCGGATAATTAAAAACACACCCAAATAATTTCAGACCCGCTTCAAAATTATAACCAAGTTATCAAGAAACGGAGATCAAGAACTAATCATAAAGCAAAATTCAAAGTTTTCTAAAGCCATGTTAGCATTAAATTCCTTGGAAATGGAAATTCATGCAGGAAAGCTAAGTAATCCTTGAATTGAGGAAGCTTCGATTTGGTACGAATACCAGTACCAATTGACGCTTGAAAAATGCAGGAAGTGTTCCAAAAGGTCATTGCAGTATGTGATGCTTTCCCTGAGGCTGCTGAATGTATTGTTGATTTTCGATTTTCACAGATCTATTTTCTTGGCTTTCAGCCCTACAATCTTTATTTTTCAAAATCTCAGTCATCTAAAAATGTTATTGAGTTTTGTGATTATAAATCCATTTGAAGGTCGCTGATTCGATTCGCCGAAGGTCGCTGGTTCGATTCGCCGGAATTGTTGGAGCAACAGTGAGGGAGAGATGGGTGAGTGGTGGTCAGGTTTCATGGTGGATGAAGGGTCGCTACCTCACTAATTTCGCTGGAGCGTCTCTAGAGCAAGGGAGGTTGAGTTCGATAGCAATTAGAGGTGGTTTTGTACTTGGAGCTTCGCCGGAGAAGATGGAGTCGCGGCAGTGGTGTTGGGTATCTGTTCTTGGGGTGTATGGTTGTTGCCTTGTTGGAACTAGAAAAGAATGAGAAAATGGGATTTATTTGGGTGGGTTAAATTATTTGAGTGAGTTTTTAATTATCCTGGTCGAATTATTTAATTGAAAATAAAAATTAAATAAATTTTTGATAGGTTGTTAAGATCGTGACATGTGTCCCTTCGTTAGTCCAAAGGGTATATATGCTCCAAAAATTAGTTGGTAGGGGCATCAGCGTTCTAAAAGTATAACGAGGGGTATTTAGATACTATTTACGAAAGTTCAGGGGTATATTTATCCTTTTTCCCTTTTCAAAATAATGAACAAGTAAAAAACTAATGAAATGTTGTTAAGGCAGGAAAGATATGGTAAAACATTTTTAATCTATTATTAGGTGAATAAATTAAGAGAAGAAATGAAACTATAACTAATTCAACAAATAGTAGGCCGGCGGAGCCATAATTTTCAGTAAGAGAATTTAAAATATTAAAAAATATACATGAAATATTTAAGGAAATTCAACATCAATCATATATACATAAAGAGTAATTTTAACTTTATATATAATATAATTTTTTAATCAAAAGACATCTGACTTCACCCCTATAATTTAAATGAAACCCATCAAAGTTCTTGAAAATCCACTTGGAATTAGAAGAAAACAAAGAAACTAAAAATAGAGTGAAGAATTCTATCACAATTGAATTGAAGAAACAAGGAATCTTAGTTAAATCAACCATTCATTCACAAGCAATCCAATCAAAGCTTTCTATAAAGGCATAGCCAAGATTTTTAATTTATAAACTCTAAATTATAATTATTTTTATTTATTAGATTCTTGATAGATTATTTGTGTGTAATGAATTTTTCAACATGATTATAAAATTTGAGGCAATTGAGTTCTATCGAATTCGTAACTATCACCGCTCCGCCTCTACATCTAGCCCACTAAATATAGACATGAGATGGGCCTTAAAACAAAAAAAGAACAAAAAATTGGGAGAATATTTTTTAGGAAATTTTTTCAAAATGACAATATTTTGATATTTAATAGGGTCCCTTAGTTACACTTTCAATATTTATTTAAAATGTCAATATTTTAGTTTGTTATGTATCTGATTTATGTATTCTTTTATTTGTTTGATTTAAAAGAATACAATTATTTAATAACAGAAAAGAGATTATGTTTTCTTCGTAATTGTATACCAATAATTTTTACATTTTATGTACTTACTTTACCATTCAAATTAAAATTAGTATATTACTTTCATAATAAAAACTAAAATTGTATTCCAGTGAAATTGTATTACATGATTGTATCCCAATATAATTCAATTATTACATATGAATATGATTTACGAAAGGATACAAGATTCTGGAAAAAAAAATAACATATGGTGAAAATAATACAATCTGTTGAGGAAGGATATAATTATTTTTTTTAAAAAAAAACGCAAATTAACTATGAAAGAAATAGGGATACAAGATTCTGATTTTTTTTTTTAGCATACATAGTGAAAATAATACAATATGTTGAGTAAGGATACAATATTCTAAAAATAATATACAAATTAACTATGAAAAAAATAGGATACATGCTTAATAAAGTACAAATTCATTTGGCATACCTATTAGAATGACTACAAACTAAAAAATTATTAATACAAATACAAATGTTGAATAAAAGAAAAATAATTGACAAACAAAATTAATATGAATACAATTCTGGTATGAATACAATTTTTGCAACTTTCTTCTCTGACTCTCTCTTTGTTGTTGTTCTTCTTCTTCGTCTGTTGTGTTCCTTTTTTCTGATTTTTTGTTCATCAAATACAAATCTAAAGATCTGTATTCACTTGTCCATAAGTAACCCTATAAGCAAAATTTGAATTTATTTAAATATGAATGTATAAAAAATTAAACAATATATGATGTATGAATGCCAATGTAGATTTCTACAATCTACTAAATCTCAAATATGAAAACAAAATTACAAAAAAATCGAACAATATTGCTTAAAAGACAAAAAATCTGAAATACATAAAAGAGAAAAATCTCACAAAATACTTGGTGAATATGAAAACAAACTCACAAAAAAAAATCAAGCAATACTGATTAAAAGACGAAAAATTCAAAATACAAAATACTTGGTGAATATAAAAATAAAATCACAAGAAACTTCACAAAATACTTGTTGACTTCGAATTTACTTTATCAATGGGTGAAGAATCTTTTGAATTAATTGTGAGATTTCTTAAAAAAAAAGTGTAGAAAATTCGAAGAGTTGATTTTCTTGAACAAAAAAGGAGTTAACAATGGCGAAAAAAAGAAGAGGGAGAAAAGAGTGATTTGGGATAAAACCTAGAAAGAGGGGTAAGTGGGTGATGATTTTTTTTTACCGGATAGTGAAATAAATAATGGCCTAATTTGAGAAATAAATGGAAAGAAGATTAATTATATTAGGATTCAATTTATTTCCTAAAATATTGACATATTGACATTTTTAATAATTATTTTAAAGAGTAGATGTTTTTAATAATTATGTTAAAGATTGTGACTAGTTTTGCTAATTTTTCCATATTTTATATATATACAAAATTAAATTCATAATATGAAAGTGTATCACGAGATTTTTTTTAACAAATATAGACCGGGATTTTATTTTATTTTTACAACATACACAAAATTTCGCTTAAGGCTTAGAAATTTCACTACTCAAATTTTCGTGAATGAAAATTGTATAAAATCAATATAAATATGCATATAATTGTATAAATTTGTATAAAGTTCATGTTAGATTTGTAGATGTTGAATTCTCTTAAATGGCAATACATAATAGGTACTTTCACTTACCTTATATGACATTTCAGATTGGTTAAAGCAATAATATTTATTTATTTTTAATAAATTTTGGTGGGTGTTACCCCAATTTTATTAATAATCATAGCAATACAATAATATAATTGTGGCCATGGGCCAGAAAATGTTAAAAAAAGACAAAAATAAAAAAATAAAAACTTAATGTGTACAATTTGTTAGGACCAACCCATTTCACCTCTGTCTTCTTTCCTTTTCTGGAGACATTCCGAATTTCACCCTAATTTTGACTTTTTCTTCTCTGCAGGTCGTCCATTTCCTCAATGATCTTCAGTGAACTCAGGTAATGTTTCCTTCACCCTTCTATTTTCATTCCTCTTGTTGAACGAATTGTCTCTCATTTATGTGTTTGGTATTTCTTCAGTTTCCTTTGGAGGTGAAAAATAAGTCCGACGTCACACCGCTCTTCCATCAGTAAGTGCTTCTCCTCAGGTTCTAGTTTTGAACGTGAATTTGAGTTGCTCTCTTGGTTAATACGTCTGCCATCAATTTGATATGTACCATCCTTTCTTTGTCGCTTTATTAACTGTGATTGTACAATTTCGCACCTATCTCTGTCATGACAAATTAGTGAGATATTTTTCTTCTTATTCATAGAAAAATGTCATTTATGTGTTCTCATGCTTGATGATGATTGATCTTCCTTGTTCTTATCCTTAAAGTTGGTATTTGTTGCTTGTCCGTGTTAATAATCTTTCTGCCTGTTGATGGGAGCTCCTTGAAACTTTGATATTCCGCCTTCCTGTCTATCTCTGCTGCATGATTTGCCAAGAAATCAGCTAGTTGATTTCCTTCTCTAAAAATGTGTTGTATCTTGACACCTTGCTTAAGAATCATTGTTTTTATCTCCTCCACTGTTTCAGAAATCTCCCAAGGCACTCTCCATACTCCCTTAATGAAATTAATCATAGTAAGAGAGTCTGTTTCTAGCACCTTCTCTGCATCTACAGTATTTACCCAGTACCTTAGAGCCTCTAATATAGCTTTATCTTCAGCCTGTACATTATTTGTGCCTGGGCATAACATAGATCACCTTTATGATCTCTTATACAAAATCCATAAAAACTAGGCCCAGGGTTTCCTTTAGTTGCCCCATCTATGTTGCATTTGAGACTTCCAGTGATTGGGAGTTCCCACTTAACAACATAGTGATGCAGCTTAGGCTTCTACTTTCCTAGAGTACTGATCAGATCTACCCATTTATGTTCTTGAATCCTCAACCATGGGTATAGTACTCTAATCAATTGATGTACAACAGTTTCAATGTGAATTACCATTTCTTCAAGAGTTGTGTCTCCTCCATTTAATATTGTGGGAGCTCTTGTTGGTGTTGAGGCCTGATTTTAATGGAAATTTTAGATAAAGAAGATGACTTAAAGAAAATGGGTTTCTTTGAAGGTGGGTCAGGAAATGGGTGGATTTCAAAGGAATTGGGTAATTAAAATTGAGAATGAGTTATTTGATTTTTAAGCTGACATGTGTCATTCTGTTAAAATTAGGGGTATATATGTACCAAAGTATAACGGGAGGGGTATATATGATCCGAAAGTATAACGAAGGGTAATATAAACTATTTCCAATAGTACAGGGGTATATTTGACCCTTTTCCATTTCATCAAACATTGTGGGTGGATTATCAGGTAGATTTTGAAATTCACAAGCCCAAATCTTCCATAAAAAGGGCCTGTTTTAACAATATTAGTTAATCAATCAACTAAACTTCAATCCTAAACTAATCAAGCCACCTATCGAAATTCTCTACCACTATTAGAAGGTTCACCATAGTTGAAACTATTTACACCATCGACCAAACATAACCCTCTTCATAACATCCGAGTTCTGGACCGGAGACTTTGTGAAACTCGCATAGGCAAAACTACCTGTTTCAAAAATGAACCAAACCATATCCAAAGAATGCCACAATGATTAAGTTTTTAGTACATACTATGGTGGAAGGTGAATGTGAGGAACAACAAACACAGTTTCTGAGAACAAATTCTAAGCAAACACACAAATACAGACACAACATTGGAGTAAAAAGATTCATTTGATTCTAGTTTTGGAAATTAGACAAGTTCTAACAGATAATCAAATCATCTGTTTTTCTTGATAGCAGAAGAGAAGAGAGGAGAGAAAACAAATAGAAGAAACATACAGTGGCTTTATCGGAGAAAGAAGCAACAGAGCCTGGGTACTATCAGTAGGAGTTCATCAAATTAAAGAAGGTGCAACTGAAGAGGAGTGTCAATTTGGACATTCTCACAAGTCAGATTGGGCTATTAAAACATGACAGATTAACTTGGAATCTTGGACACAGCCCAAATTATTCTCGTACTGAGTAACACTAGTTTCGGTATTCCAGTAGTACAATATCCCAGCACTACAATCAATTAAACCCTTCCAAGATTGCGATAAAGTTGAATCATCTGGTGCATAACAAAGTCCTAAGGAAGCCATAACAGTATCAACTACTTAAGCTACCTAAGGCAATTCATGAAAAGAGTCATATATGAATTGACCAGATACAATGACAAGCAAAGGGTACTGTAGTACGGAGTAAACGAGACTATGCTAACAAGCATACGATTATCAAGTAAATCAGATAATAACTAAACAGATATTCCCAATGAAAACAATCCGAAGTCCAAACCCAGATTGCTATTCCACAAGGGAATAAAAATTCCAGATGACAACTTATGTCTATCGAGTTGAAGTACAAAGACATTTCTAGCATTCTCAACCCCATATCGGCTATGAATGATCCACTTGTAATATTAACACCTTAACTACCAAGATAGGGAACCGATATCCATGAATCTATTTCTTTAGCTTCAAGTCAATCAACTTTACAAGCCTCCCCCCTCCCCCTTTTTTCTTTTCCAACAACTCAAAAACCAAAATCAGAAACAAAAACAATACGACACAGAAAACAGTGTAAACTCATAGTCCGACAACCAGGAAAAAAATAACTTTGCTAATCTTTTGTAAGGATTCTTGAAATTATAAGCTGTTGGAACTAAACAGACCATGCAAACTGGATTGGAAGGTCAATATGAAAGAGAGGGCATCAAATAAATCCGCCTTATAATCATGACCACAATAATTACACTTCGCTCTATCAACTCTGTTAGCATCTTTGAAATTCTAAAAATGTTCCCAAGCACTTGGTCTAGATTGTATGGTTTCTCTTTTCTTTGTACCTATACTAGTAGTTTCAACCAAATTTGTAGGTGAAGAAGTTCACTTTCAGTTAAACCCACCTCATTTACTCTACTTTCAAGTTCTGTCATCTATGAAAAATTGAATGAAAAGAGAATTAAAAAATGCAAACAGATATATAGATTATAAATTCAACATTGGGATATCTAATTCATCTAATGCTTTCTAGTTTCTATGCCAAAAACCTCTCAAGAATATAGAGTAATCATCTATCCAATCAATGCTTATACATTCCAACCGTAGGCATACATGTAGTAAACTGAAAGAAGGCAGAATCTCAGTGTTCAGTGTTCATTGATTCGAATAATCCTCATTAAGCATGAAAGGAGACAGAATCATAGTCGAAACCGCGATTTCGAAGTGTCAGAAGTACATTCAGATTCGAGTAATTTATTTCAACAATCAATAAATGAACAGAATATCAAATATGTGAATAATCGAACTCAAGGATTCAAGCCTTCAACAAGCAGAAATTGAACTCAGTACCCACGGCTTCAAAGCAAAAATCAGGAGTAGTATTTATTTAACCTAAGGACATGGAAGTCGAAACTTCAGATTCAGAGATACAAATCGAATTCACGGCTTCAACAAGCGAAAACACGCTTTGAATTAGTCTGGATTTAATTATGGCGATTTGTTTTCAACAGATATTTCTCAATCTTCAGTTATTTCTTTTGAAGGAAAAAAAATTAAACAATGATGAAATTTACCTCAAAATGATGAAGACGACAAGCAGCGGCGACGGCAATCGGCGGCAGCGGGCAGAGACTCTCAGCAAAAGCAAGATGAAAATTTTGAAAAATGCGACTTTTTGGAACCCCAGTCTAAAGTCTCAACTCTAAGGGTTTATTTGTTGCGAAAGATAATACCAAATAATTCTGGGATTAAATTATAGTTCTTATGGTTTGAATTCAAGTTATGATGGGATTATTTTTTATTGAGCGTTTGGTTTATTGTATTCAAAATAATAAATTTTAAGAACAATTTATTTGTTTACAAAAATACCCTTCATGAATGTAAAAAGTGATGTAACAAAAGGATTGAAAGAGACATTTTTTTTATTTATTTATTTTATCCCGGGATAAGTTATCCCGAGATTACTATACCACCCAAAGGGAAAGATAACTTATCCCGGTACTAATTATTAATTTTGGGATAAGTTATTCCGGACTTGCCAACCAAACAACAAATAATTTAATCCCAGGACTATTTGGTATTATCCTTCACACCAAATGATCCCTTAATTTGTTGTTTGGTTGGCAAGTTCGGGATAACTTATCTCGAAATTAATAATTAGTATTGGAATAAGTTATCCCTCCCTTTTGTCACGACCCGAACCTACACCCTGGACGTGGCCGACACTCGAAGACCATTGATGGTCCCCAAGCGAACCCTCATCCTGACTGACTACAAGCGGAAAACTGATTCAAGCATACAAAGCTTAAAAACTGAATAAATATTCATGAAAATTAAACACAAGCTTTAACTCAAAAGATAACTGAATAAAAATAAATTATTCAACTCGCCATAAAATAGGCAACTTAAGTCTTTAAAACATTTGATAAAATAAATGAATAATACAGACTTCTAAACTATACTGACTATCTATGAAGCCTCCAACTGATAAAAATGAAAGTCGGGACAAGACCCACGACATCCTGACTGAACTGAAAAGTAAATGAAATCCTCCGGAAGCAAGGAGGCTCAACATAGCTAACTCGAACTCAAGGTGCTATATCTAGTGACCTTAACACTTAAATTTTTTTAATTCCTCGATAAAATCCTACTCACAACGAAGGATGGTTCAAGTCTTAGCTAAAAAAAAATTATGGGGTGTTACAATATCTCCCTATTGAGATCATTCGTCCTCGAATGACGATTGGACTGAGTTACTCTTACTAAGGTTTGAGTCTAATGGTATGCTCTCACTATATTCAAGCTTAACCCAAATCCTTAAGTTCGGGTTCTATACCTCGATAGGGAATCTCATCCCAAGATTATTACTTCTTACCACCACATTCAAGCTTACTACTCTAGCAACACCATGGACTTCTACTAACCAACTCTTTAAGAAATTATCAACACTTGACTTGATTTCTCCTTTTATCATCTCCCCCTTAGGTCTAAAGCTAACACTTGAAATCTATGGACCTATTCCGATCCACTTTAACAACTCAATTATGCTATCTAGGCAC